CTCAGTTCACTCGCGAGTTCAGGCCTGAGCACAAGCGCTTTTGACCAAATATCGATGATCGTCGCCGACTCTTCATATGCGCCTGCCACGGACTGTCGCTCACGATTCGTCGTCCCGGCCGCGAAATTGTAGCCATAGCGCAATGGCTTGTTTGTAACGCTCGCCCGACGTTGTGGCGTGTCCTCGCTAAGCAGGAGCCCTTTCAAGTAGAGTCGCTGGCGGAATCTCTCACCAATCAGAAGGTCACCACTTCCGGTTTTCACCAGTTCATCCGGGCTGGGCTCCTGTAGAAAGAGAGCTGCCTCAGTCCAGGCTTCAAAATCGTTTTGCTTGATCAGGTTGCGCCGCGTCGGGACACCGAGGTCGGAGCGGCCGTGATGCGGTTCGCCAAGGACGAACTGAACGTCACTTTTGGCATTAGGACAGAACGGCAGAAGCGTCTCTTCAAGTTTTGACCGGACCTGTGACTCTAGCCTGCCAATCGCCTCGGCGGACATGCGATTGAGGCGTGCAACAAGCCGCCCATGCTTGGTGAAATTGAATGTCCACGAAAACCCGCTCGAGCGACAGCGGATTTTGTGGTTCCGACTGCCGCGCATGAGCACCAATAGCGCCACTTTGAGTCCCTCACCGTGCGCACCGGCCAGGTTTCCAGAACCACTCTTGCTAGTGCCACCCATATCGAGATGCCAGGGATGGAGTGTGGCATTTCGGTTCGTGATTTCCACGATACCCCCTTTTCCGTCAGCTTTGTAGTGTATGAAACCAAGCCATTCTTTCGGTTTCGAGTTCGGCCGAGGCACTTTATAGATGATTTCTATGCATCCGTTCCCAATTCTGCGCTCGCATTCCACCACAAACTCCTTCTCAGGCAGTGCGAAGGAAGCGATGATGCCGTCGCGCCTATGAATGATGGTCAGCTGCTATACTTGTGATGAACTCAATTATTGCTTGAGCTCACCAGTTCTGCACAAGCTCACGAAAGGCTTCACGTGGATTCCAATCCGTGTAAGCCGCCCTGATCGAGAGCGAAATTGTCTGGCGGTCAGGAAGAGAGTTGACGGTGGGAAAGTCAGAGTCACTGTCATCCCTAGATACGTAGCCGACTGCCAGTTCGTGCATGTTAGCATCGAAAGGCGCTGGAAGATTCATCGTATGCAGCCGTTATTGGTGCACTATCTGTACGCCGTATTTTGCATTGACGGCGACTGGTAGTGGGCAATGTGCGCACCCAGTTGGCATTTATAGAGCCACGATGTGGATGGCGAGGTCTTATTCTTGGCATACAAATTGAGAGATCACAGGTTCAAGGATCACAGCAGTGGATTTGTGCTGCGGGATCACAGGCAGTGTGTGTGCGGTGGGAAACTGCATGACGCACTTCAACGACCAGAGAGGCAAGGGGTGGAGACAACTGCAGGGGTACTGTAGTACAA